ATATGACACATGCGCAGTTTAGTACAAGTATATGACACATGCGCAGTTTAGTACAAGTATATAACACATGCGCAGTTTAGTACAAGTATATGACACATGCGCAGTTTAGTACAAGTATATGACACATGCGCAGTTTAGTACAAGTAGATAACACATGCGCAGTTCAGTATACAGGTAGAAGTTTATCCCACAAGTATTAACGCTTCCTGAGAAATAGCCCTGTTTTCTGAAGCCAGTTTCTGCATTACCACTCCATTGCACGAGTCCTCACAGGACAGGGATTGTGGTACCTCATCGCTGAATCATTTTTGGTGTAAACGGACTGAAAAGAGGACTTTATTGACCTCGTCAGTATATTGTTTAACATCAAGATGAAGCGGCATTTAGAATGAGGGTTTGTACTGTTGTTGGCTCTAGTCATCATAGACTGAGAAGAGAACTTTACTTGTTTGTAAGGGTCTCGTCAGGACATGAGATGATTGTACTAGAGCGGTATTTGTTTGTCCCTATGGTCCGTCATGAGATCATATTGTAGGGTTGAATTAAGGCGCATATTATTGCGCAGATACCAATTAAAACTGTTTGGTGTGAAAATAAGATGCAGATTCATTTGAGGAAATGATTGGTCATGTGATTCAATTGTTGACGCTCTATTTTAAGAAAATAAAATAAAACAACAATAACATCCAATATCCATTTCGAGTTCGCCTTTGCTCAGTCTTATTGTGTACAAATGTGTTCTTTTCTTTTATTAAGGTCCATTGTACAGTAAAGAATATGCGTACTACGGAACAATACAAGCTGATTAAAATGCCACGGGTTTTGGTTGAATATTCAAAACGTGCGGCCCAAACTAAGGCTGAGCAAACTGGAGCAATAATATTACATATTGAATGACCTTTTTTCCTACGACACGGGTGTGTCCTTCAAATTCTTTATATCCTAGACCTGGTTATTGTAAATGTTCATCTATAAACCCAGCCCTTATGCATGATAATCGTTATTGAAACTCGCCCAACATGAATAATTCCTGTTGGACTAGGCAATTATGGTCCCTTGGGATTAGTCTTGAGTTGCAGATAATTTTATGCGTTTGTACAATAAAACTCGAGCTTGATGCACGAGCTCGAGGCAAAGATGCTCGAGCAAAAAACGGTTGAGTGTTGCTTCCGATATATCCAAATAGCGAGAAGAAAACACTCAATGTTCTATTCCATCGGGTTTGTATTGTAGTWAGTCAATTTATCGATACATGTTAGAGAAGACGGAAACTAAGAGTGACCGTATTTAACCTCTTAATTATGATCTTCTATGCAACCACATTCATGATTGTGATTTCCTCCGCTCTGTCGTCATGAATAAGTTTAAGAAACGATCATCCCACATGGACCACGGTGCTGGTATTACCTAGGTAGTTTAATTTTTTCGGGATGTGGAGGTTGGATGGGGATGCGGAGGATCCTATATGGATTTTCCACTTCACTTTTCCAAGGCATCGATTTTCAGATCCTTCCTTGCTGGATATCCTGGTTTTACAAGGATCTGATGGAGATGGTTGACTCACGGAGTGCCTCTACATGGGTCTTCCACGATGTCTCGTCCCTTACAGAGAGTGCCATAAAGGACAAAATACAGATTATTGAATGGTGACAAATGACGTAAAATGGTACTTTTGTACCAACATTGTACATCCCACATGGACAAATGTGTTTGAAAGATAGAGAAGAGAGTCATCTGCATGGGGAGGAGAAGGGGGTAGATGGAGGACGAAATTATGAGACGAAACTTTGACTTCTAAAGTGAGACATTCTAGAGTTTCTCTATGAAAACACTTAGTATATATCCAAGATTTTTAACTAGTCTCTTAAGGGTTGGATCAAAAGTACCCCCTTTAAAGAATCAAAAAATAAAATTGTTTTGGTGTTAAAAAAATAAAATTGTTTTGGTATAAAAAATAAAAAGTAAAATATAAAAAAATGAAATGAAAAATTGTTAGGGTTAGGGTTAGCGTGAAAATCATTAGGGTTAGGGTTAGCGTTTTTAGAGTTAGGGTTAGGGTTAGGGTTAGGGTTAGGGTTAACTCTAACCCTAACCCTAACCCTAACTCTAAAAACGCTAACCCTAACCCTAACGATTTTCACGCTAACCCTAACCCTAACAATTTTTCATTTCATTTTTTATTTTTTATTTTTATTTTTTTATTTTTTACTTTTTATTATTTATATTTTTTTAACACCAAAACAATTTTATTTTTTGATCCTATGTGGATTTTCCACTTCTCTTTTCCAAGGCATCGATTTTCAGATCCTTCTTTGCTGGATATCCTGGTTTTATAAGGATCTGATGGAGATGGTTGACTCACGGAGTGCCTCTACATGGGTCTTCCACGATGTCTCGTCCCTTATAGAGAGTGCCATAAAGGACAAAATACAGATTATTGAATGGTGACAAATGACGTAAAATGGTACTTTTGTACAAATATTGTACATCCCACATGGACAAATGTGTTTGAAAGATAGAGAAGAGAGTCATCTGCATGGGGAGGAGAAGGGGGTCCATGGAGGATGAAATTATGAGACAAAACTTTGACTTCTAAAGTGAGACATTCTAGAGTTTCTCTATGAAAACACTTAGTATATATCCAAGATTCTTAACTAGTCTCTTAAGGGTTGGATCAAAAGTACCCCCTTTAAAGAATCAAAAAATAAAATTGTTTTGGTGTTAAAAAAATAAAATTGTTTTGGTATAAAAAATAAAAAGTAAAATATAAAAAAATGAAATGAAAAATTGTTAGGGTTAGGGTTAGCGTGAAAATCGTTAGGGTTAGGGTTAGCGTTTTTAGAGTTAGGGTTAGGGTTAGGGTTAGAGTTAACCCTAACCCTAACCCTAACCCTAACCCTAACTCTAAAAACGCTAACCCTAACCCTAATGATTTTCACGCTAACCCTAACCCTAACAATTTTTCATTTCATTTTTTTATATTTTACTTTTTATTTTTTATACCAAAACAATTTTATTTTTTTAACACCAAAACAATTTTATTTTTTGATTCTTTAAAGGGGGTACTTTTGATCCAACCCTTAAGAGACTAGTTAAAAATCTTGGATATATACTAAGTGTTTTCATAGAGAAACTCTAGAATGTCTCACTTTAGAAGTCAAAGTTTCGTCTCATAATTTCGTCCTCCATCTACCCCTTCCTCCTTCCCATGCAGATGACTCTCTTCTCTATCTTTCAAACACATTTGTCCATGTGGGATGTACAATGTTTGTACAAAAGTACCATTTTACGTCATTTGTCACCATTCAATAATCTGTATTTTGTCCTTTATGGCACTCTCTGTAAGGGACGAGACATCGTGGAAGACCCATGTAGAGGCACTCCGTGAGTCAACCATCTCCATCAGATCCTTGTAAAACCAGGATATCCAGCAAGGAAGGATCTGAAAATCGATGCCTTGGAAAAGTGAAGTGGAAAATCCATATAGGATCCTCCGCATCCCCATCCAACSTCCMCATCCCGAAAAAATTAAACTACCTAGGTAATACCAGCACCGTGGTCCATGTGGGATGATCGTTTCTTAAACTTATTCATGACGACAGAGCGGAGGAAATCACAATCGTGAATGTGTTTGCATAGAAGATCATAATTAAGAGGTTAAATACGGTCACTCTTAGTTTCCGTCTTCTCTAACATGTATCGATAAATTGACTAACTACAATACAAACCCGATAGAATAGAACATTGAGTGTTTTCTTGCTATTTGGATATATCGGAAGCAACGCACAACGTTTTTTGCTCGAGCATCTTTGCCTCAAGCTCGAGCATCGCTCTGACGAGCGTTTTATTGTACAAACGCATAAAATTATCTGCAACTCAAGACGAATCCCAAGGGACCATAATTGCCTAGTCCAACAGGAATTATTCATGTTGGGCAAGTTTCAATAACAAATTATCATGCATAAGGGCTGGGTTTATAGATGAATATTTACAATAACCAGGTCTAGGATATAAAGAACTTGAAGGACACACCCTTGTCGTGGGAAAAAAGGTCATTCAATATGTAATATTAATGCTCCAGTTTAAAGTTTCTCTTTGCTCAGCCTTAGTTTGGGCCGCACGTTTTGAATATTCAATCAAAACCCGTGGCATTTTAATCAACTCGTATTGTTCC